AAAAAAAAAAAAAAAAAAAAGGAAAATTAAAATGATATTAATACGTTATTATAAAGACACGAGTACCTGGAGGAAGTACCTCCTTTAAAAGAAAACTGGGTTCTTAAAGTGAGAAATATCAAAAATTCGTGTTGCCCAACCCTAAAAGCAGAAGGATCATCCTCCTTTGGGTGATTTTAGCTGCAGAAACGGGGCGCTACTGGTTGTATTTGCAATTTCTGAGTAGTCTACGTCACGCGGGCCCGCAAAACGACAGAAGAAAACCCGAAGCGGACACATTGCCGAGCAGATCGCTGCATATTCATCAAAAAAAGACGATGATGACAGAAATTAGTCAGAAAAATCAAAGCAACGAGTTGTATTCAACGAGCCCCTCGTGGCAAGACACCACGGCGCGGCGGAAGAACCAGGACGCTGCGGCTGCGCTGGTGAAGCTGCCGACGCTTCACGCGATGCCGAGATCCGGATGGATCCTACGGCCCCAGCTCAAATTCGGTGTCGCCACGTGCCACAAATTACGAGCGATGCCTGCGGTAAAATTGACATCATTACGGCCGCGGGAGCGCCGCTGCCGGTTGTGCCAAGCGACAACTTGTGTTTTTATTTAGATTCTAAGTTTGATATAAGTTCTCCGGAGCGGGAGCGGCCTTTCTGCTCCTCGTTGGCACAATACCCAGCACAACGGGGTTTGAATCCTTGATGGGAACACCCAGGTTTTAAAAAAAAAAAAAAAAAAAAAAAAGGAATAATAGAAGAAAAAACAACTCTTTTTCACCGATGACTTCAGCCGCGAGGTTTGAATCCTCGCCCAACGTGTGGCGTTCAATTTTATATTGCGAGGACCAAAGAAATCATATTTTTAAACGAATCTCAGGCTTCTGCTTGGGAATGTACTAAGACTGGCTTAAACCAGCCACACGATCCAAATCAAGGCCAATTAACTAATTGCTCCAAGAGGAAAAGTTTATTAGCGAAAGGAAATCGTGTTTTATTGAGGAAGTGCCAGCTTGGACAGAGAGAACCGCATTTCCGTATCATCAAGGGCAAACCTTGGGTTTTGAGGGGAAAACAATATAATCTCAGTAAAATCAATTTATTAATACACACATCTGGCTGCCCCAGATCAAACGAGCAACGGAGATGTAAAATAAATGAACTTTTCTCATCCGCCAGCTGATTTTTTTGCTTTAAGGCTGCCCGTCGTCGGGACAGAGCTGCTCCCTTGGCAAGAGAGAAAAAAAAAAACCCGCTATCACGGAGCAAATTAAACATAAATAAATTAACCAACAAGAGAGACTGAGCAGAGCAGCCCAACACCCGGAGATAAACGAGGGGGTTTTAAGCACGTACCTTGCCAACTCGTCGCGTTCGTGGCGTATGTACCTGAACGGGACAAAAAGAAAAGAGAGTTTCAGCTCCAAAAGCAACAAAGGGAAAAGTTCAGAGACTGAACAGACATAACTCAGTTTAATCGGTAGGAAAAATTCCCTCACACAAAAGGAAAGGAAGAAGCTGGGACCTCCAAGAGCTAATTATGAAAATTAAATGCATAATATATACTTTTATACATTTTTTGGAAACATTTTCCTGGATGTGCACTTGAAAAGAACTCAAATTATTCCATAAAAATCCTTGGGTAGTTGTAAAACCTGTCACGGTATCACGGATGAAGCTTTTACAGAAGAACAAGTAGAAAAGTCACTAAAACAGATAGAGGAGGAGGAAGGCTGCAAAACTCTTTCTGAATTACGCTACTCTGGCTAGGAAGAAGCCAAAAATAAGGTTTATTCTAAAACTGCAATTCCCTAAATCAAGTTTTCCATACCCAAAACTCACCTTGAGTGTTGGCGGCCCCGGTATTCCAGGTGCCGTAACCTGCAAGAAAAAGAACGCAGCGATCAGAAAGATCGTCCCTGCTGTTATCACGGGGTTTGTTTCTTCCCTTAATCGACTTTAGAACCAATAAAGTTTTTAATTACAGCTCCACTTGTGGTTTTTATTGTTTGGGAAACACGCCCAAAGTTTGCCCAATGCTTTTTAAAAGGTGTTTGATGTAACGACGGTGCAAAGCTACGTTTAGATGAGAGGTAATTCCCGGGATAAATCATCCCAAGAACTGAACCGGCATCAAGAACGGACGTTTCGATTCCGTTCTGCCAGCAGAAGCGTCTTTTTTCCTAGGGAGTATTGGATATCCTTGTGTGTGAGCCAAGGCGAGTACCATTACACGAGCCAATAAAATAAATCGAGGGTCCTACGCTTCCCTAATTGCAAGATTTGCACTAACGAGGCGGATTCGGTCCGGTCTCCCCGAAAACAGCAGCAGTGCCCAGGTGGAAGCAGCAGCTCCCGCTGCGACTTCAGCAGCTCCTTTATTTCACAGCAGCGATTCGTTTTCCTCGTCAAAACAAATCATCTCTCCATTTTAAACCTTTTCCAAAGCTTCTGGGGGGGGAACTGGCATCCCCGACACCGCAACGACCTTCGAAAGACCCACAAACGCCTTCATCCGCTCAAAAGGCATCAGATAAATAAACTCCATGCTGCCAGAAAACCTCGAGATCATCGAAATTAAATTTGGAAATTCAGGTGTTTTACTGAGAGCCTTGACTACCACTTCTCTGCGGAGAAAACATTTTTTTTTAATCTTTCTTTATTATTCCAATCAGAAAAACAAGTTGGTCCCCAAGCAGAACTACTCATGCCCAGCTTCCTATGGATCCAATTTATTTTGACACCCCAAATTTCTCCCGGTTTCTTTCCTGGCTTTGTCTTTTCCCCCTGAATCTGCAGTTTCTCTTCCCTTTAGCAACCTCATCTCCCTCCAAACGTTCCCTGGCTGAGAAAAAGCGTGCACAAGCCAAAAAAAAAAAAAAAAAAAACAAAAAACAACCCCAAAAAAACCCCCCACACACTTCCTTCCTTCATTCTTTTGAAGTTCAGTTTGATTTTCTGCCCTTTAGACACCAATTTCACAAAAAATTCATATTTTTGGAGGTGGCCCCCAATTTTGCCAAGCTTTTCTGGTTTTGGAACCAGCCCCCAATTTTGCCAAACATTTAATTTTTTACAGACAGCCCCTGATGCTGCAAAAACTTTGCTTTTTTTGGAGGCGGCTCCCGATTTTGCCAAACTTTTTGGAGGCAGACCTCAAATTTTGCAAAGTTTTTCTATTTTCGGAGGGGCGCTCAACTTTGTAAAGCTTTTCTATTTTTGGTGGCAGACCCTGATTTTGCAAAAGCTTTTCTATTTTTTGGCGGCAGCCTCCAATTTTGCAACGCTTTTTTCTTTTCTGGAGGGGCCCTCAATTTTGCAAACCTTTTAGTTGTTGGAGGCAGCCCTCAATTTTGCAAAATTTTTTCTTCTTTTTTGGTGAAAAGCCCCAATTTTCCCCAAAACGTTTACTTTTTGAGACAGCCCGCAGCACGAACCTCTCCAACACGCACCAAGCACCTACAGGACGCTCCTCCCTCTTAACAGCTTTGTTTTTTTCCCCCCTCGTGGGAAATCACCTTACACACCCAGAACCTAAAGAAATCGCGGGCAAAACGGTTACCGCGTATTTTTGAACTCCTGTAGAGACCGCAGCACCAGCAAAACAGGAACTGCAACGCCTAAACGCCTTTTCAAATCAGAGCCTTAGTAGTAAATAATTTCCTTTCCCACCGTTGGTGTTTTTAGGTTGAGACGTTCGCCGTTCAGCTTCGCTTTCCAGCCGGAGCAGGGTGATGCCGGGATGTGGTTTTTCAGCTGCCGGTGAAGTTTGCGGGGAGGATCACGTCAAGACAGAGCACAAAAATTAAGGACAAAACCTCGGATCCATCGACTGCAGCCACCCCAAAGCCTCATTTTTAAATCCGCAGCTCAATTTTCACGCTCCCTCCTCCTGCGCATTAACTCACCCCTTGCAAAGAAACTGCTGACACACGCGATCGTTGCAAGTGACGCCAAGTGATGTCAAATTCCTGGCTGTCACAGGCATCATCCCAGCTCGATGCCTGCCTCCGAACACGCTCGTAGCCGGAAAAAAGCGGGAAGGGAAAGCAAAGGCAGCGCAGGGAAAGCTTTTTTTCTGGGCTGGTCACTCGGTTTCTCACCCAGCAATGCCAAAAATAGCAGCAGTCCTCACGTTTTCGACCGCACGATCAAAAGCGAGCTCCTCTCCTTCAATTTTTAAGCCGTCTTCGATAAAACTTTGGCTGCATTAATTCAGGAGACAAAAATAGCACGAAACCTCAAGGAAAACGCAGGCTGCTTGGCCCAAAACGCAGTGTTTTTCAGCCAAAGGCCGTCCCACCTCTTTCTACCTCCGGATTCTATAGGATGAAGCTTCCTGCCTTTAATTTCCGCACATAAGATGTAGAGCACTTTATGTACGTACAGGTATTGGGGCGATTATTATATTCTTTCAAGGAATGAAGAAATCTGGGTGAATCAAAGACCTCAAGTTTTCAAAGCAAAGACCTCGAGCTTTCGGTACAACTTAAGAACGCAGTAATTAAGAGTTCAACGTCTAATTTTGAAACTAAGTGTTATGTAAAAAAACTCACTAGATGAGACACTCGGGTATTAACAACTCGGTACCAATGAGCAGAGGTTGGATCTGTCAGCTCTGCAGCGTGTCTGTAAACATCCCCAGGAAGGGGGGAAAAAAAAAATAAAAATCAGCAGAATAAATCATCATCGTCTTCTCTTGGGAAAATAGAGATGAAATAACGTGTAGAGCAGAAAAAAAAACAACTCAGAAGGAGCCAAGAGGTGAATTTTCCTGAGCTGAATACACCGTATGTCCTGGTTCCCAGTTTATTCCCAGGACAGCGCTCCCTGAGGTGGGAAAAAAGCTTGGGAATAATTTTTCTCCACACATGTGTGCAAGCCGAGTGCGAATCTGGAGATGATGGAGCGCCATCAAGAGATTTATGTCATTCAGTCTATCCAAAGTGCTGAAAAATTGAAATTTAACACCTGCGGAAAGAAAGCCGGGATCCAGGAATCAAATCAGGCAATTCCTTCCATAAGCAACGGTCTGAGGTTCTCCTGGTGATTCCAACACAGGACTTTATACAAGGAGAATAAAGTTTGTCTTCTGCTGGAATCGCAAAGTATTTAAATTAAATCTCTATATTGCAACGTTCCTACGCAAGGCTTGTCTATAATGGGCGCTCTCCTCAAAAACCCGCTCGCGTGGAACCGTACGATTCTAAACACGCAGAGAATTAAAAATAAAGAGGCTGGTTCCAAGCTGAGCCGGCTACACCTGAGGTTTATTTATAAACCCCCAAACGTACAAGAACTGTTAGAACACTTTCATTTTTATAAAGTGTTAACGGTAAAAATCACGACAAAACTTCTCTAAAGCTGCAACGCACTCGGGGGGGTTTAATCTATTAATAGTCCTGCAAGGAAGATCCCAGTTTTAAGGAGCTCATTAACATCATGAAGCCAAGGAAATCTTTCTCCAGGATAATTTTCAGCTGCGTAAACTCTTCCAAGTTCTTTATCTGAACTCGCTTGGTTGTCAGTAGAAAGAAACCGACACTTGTTGAGGATGATTCAACACATATTTAAGGGGGTTTTTAATCCTGTTGCGGTTTCTCACCTCATTTTTATGCCCAAAGAACCAGCCAAACACTTTAAAAAAAGCAGTTAAAAACATGGTGAAAGAGATGCTGGGCATGAGACCTCCACCAAGCTGAAAGCGGGGACAGAGCGAACCTGGACAGAGCAACTTGTCAATGTCGGGATGAATTATCTCTGCAGAAAAAGCGGTGTGCAGCGTATTAGGAATGTGATAAAACACATGCAGAAACGGCATCGCTGCTGTATTATTTATAAAATCCTGCCACAGCCATAATTATGTTATAAAAACCAAGGAAGTGTTTTCAACAGCGAAGTAAAATGCACCCTCGTGGGACTGTGGCGTCTCTCAACATGAATGTAAGTGAAGCGAAGCGGGAATTTGGGGTGGGAAGAGGATCCAGGCTGTTCGGCTGCGATCCGGGAGTGCTTAGCCACATGCCGCCATCTCGCATCTAAACAAACTTCATCAAGGGGCTTTAAACAACCAATATTCAGCTGTTAAAACTTCAATCACAACGATCTTCTTTCAGTTTCTGCTTCTGCTAGCTTCGTTTTGCATAAAGAGACATAAAAAAGACCAGCAAAGGCCGGGAGAAGACGTCGTTTGTTGCTTTGATGAAGGAAGACGGGTTTTCCCCTCTCATAAATCACTTCCCCAACGCCGCCAAACGCAGCTT